AGACCCTTCCAGAGCTGAGATATCGAAACTCAAAATTTCGACCAGAAAAAAAAACGACAGTGTTACCCCTTACGTTTTTTTTTTGGGCGAAAAATTAAGTTCCCAATCTTCTCAAAACTCTGGATTCTGATAGAGGGCCATGAGACTTAGACCTGAGTGCAAAAATGGAGGCTCTAGACCCTTCCAGAGCTGAGATATCGAAACTCAAAATTTCGACCAGAAAAAAAAACGACAGTGTTACCCCTTACGTTTTTTTTTTGGGGGCGAAAAATTAAGTTTCCCCAATCTTCTCAAAACTCTGGATTCTGATAGAGGGCCATGAGACTTAGACCTGAGTGCAAAAATGGAGGCTCTAGACCCTTCCAGAGCTGAGATATCGAAACTCAAAATTTCGACCAAAAAAAAAACGACAGTGTTACCCCTTACGTTTTTTTTTGGGGGCGAAAAATTAAGTTTCCCCAATCTTCTCAAAACTCTGGATTCTGATAGAGGGCCATGAGACTTAGACCTGAGTGCAAAAATGGAGGCTCTAGACCCTTCCAGAGCTGAGATATCGAAACTCAAAATTTCGACCAGAAAAAAAAACGACAGTGTTACCCCTTACGTTTTTTTTTTGGGGCGAAAAATTAAGTATCCCCAATCTTCTCAAAACTCTGGATTCTGATAGAGGGCCATGAGACTTAGACCTGAGTGCAAAAATGGAGGCTCTAGACCCTTCCAGAGCTGAGATATCGAAACTCAAAATTTCGACCAGAAAAAAAAACGACAGTGTTACCCCTTACGTTTTTTTTTTTGGGCGAAAAATTAAGTTTCCCAATCTTCTCAAAACTCTGGATTCTGATAGAGGGCCATGAGACTTAGACCTGAGTGCAAAAATGGAGGCTCTAGACCCTTCCAGAGCTGAGATATCGAAACTCAAAATTTCGACCAAAAAAAAAAACGACAGTGTTACCCCTTACGTTTTTTTTTTTGGGCGAAAAATTAAGTTTCCCCAATCTTCTCAAAACTCTGGATTCTGATAGAGGGCCATGAGACTTAGACCTGAGTGCAAAAATGGAGGCTCTAGACCCTTCCAGAGCTGAGATATCGAAACTCAAAATTTCGACCAGAAAAAAAAACGACAGTGTTACCCCTTACGTTTTTTTTTGGGGGGCGAAAAATTAAGTATCCCCAATCTTCTCAAAACTCTGGATTCTGATAGAGGGCCATGAGACTTAGACCTGAGTGCAAAAATGGAGGCTCTAGACCCTTCCAGAGCTGAGATATCGAAACTCAAAATTTCGACCAGAAAAAAAAACGACAGTGTTACCCCTTACGTTTTTTTTTTGGGGCGAAAAATTAAGTTTCCCCAATCTTCTCAAAACTCTGGATTCTGATAGAGGGCCATGAGACTTAGACCTGAGTGCAAAAATGGAGGCTCTAGACCCTTCCAGAGCTGAGATATCGAAACTCAAAATTTCGACCAGAAAAAAAAACGACAGTGTTACCCCTTACGTTTTTTTTTGGGGGCGAAAAATTAAGTTTCCCCAATCTTCTCAAAACTCTGGATTCTGATAGAGGGCCATGAGACTTAGACCTGAGTGCAAAAATGGAGGCTCTAGACCCTTCCAGAGCTGAGATATCGAAACTCAAAATTTCGACCAGAAAAAAAAAACGACAGTGTTACCCCTTACGTTTTTTTTTTTGGGGCGAAAAATTAAGTTCCCCAATCTTCTCAAAACTCTGGATTCTGATAGAGGGCCATGAGACTTAGACCTGAGTGCAAAAATGGAGGCTCTAGACCCTTCCAGAGCTGAGATATCGAAACTCAAAATTTCGACCAGAAAAAAAAACGACAGTGTTACCCCTTACGTTTTTTTTTGGGCGAAAAATTAAGTTTCCCCAATCTTCTCAAAACTCTGGATTCTGATAGAGGGCCATGAGACTTAGACCTGAGTGCAAAAATGGAGGCTCTAGACCCTTCCAGAGCTGAGATATCGAAACTCAAAATTTCGACCAGAAAAAAAAACGACAGTGTTACCCCTTACGTTTTTTTTTTTGGGGGCGAAAAATTAAGTTTCCCCAATCTTCTCAAAACTCTGGATTCTGATAGAGGGCCATGAGACTTAGACCTGAGTGCAAAAATGGAGGCTCTAGACCCTTCCAGAGCTGAGATATCGAAACTCAAAATTTCGACCAGAAAAAAAAACGACAGTGTTACCCCTTACGTTTTTTTTTTGGGGCGAAAAATTAAGTTTCCCCAATCTTCTCAAAACTCTGGATTCTGATAGAGGGCCATGAGACTTAGACCTGAGTGCAAAAATGGAGGCTCTAGACCCTTCCAGAGCTGAGATATCGAAACTCAAAATTTCGACCAGAAAAAAAAACGACAGTGTTACCCCTTACGTTTTTTTTTTTGGGCGAAAAATTAAGTTTCCCCAATCTTCTCAAAACTCTGGATTCTGATAGAGGGCCATGAGACTTAGACCTGAGTGCAAAAATGGAGGCTCTAGACCCTTCCAGAGCTGAGATATCGAAACTCAAAATTTCGACCAGAAAAAAAAACGACAGTGTTACCCCTTACGTTTTTTTTTGGGGGCGAAAAATTAAGTATCCCCAATCTTCTCAAAACTCTGGATTCTGATAGAGGGCCATGAGACTTAGACCTGAGTGCAAAAATGGAGGCTCTAGACCCTTCCAGAGCTGAGATATCGAAACTCAAAATTTCGACCAAAAAAAAAACGACAGTGTTACCCCTTACGTTTTTTTTTTTTGGCGAAAAATTAAGTATCCCCAATCTTCTCAAAACTCTGGATTCTGATAGAGGGCCATGAGACTTAGACCTGAGTGCAAAAATGGAGGCTCTAGACCCTTCCAGAGCTGAGATATCGAAACTCAAAATTTCGACCAAAAAAAAAAACGACAGTGTTACCCCTTACGTTTTTTTTTTTGGGCGAAAAATTAAGTATCCCCAATCTTCTCAAAACTCTGGATTCTGATAGAGGGCCATGAGACTTAGACCTGAGTGCAAAAATGGAGGCTCTAGACCCTTCCAGAGCTGAGATATCGAAACTCAAAATTTCGACCAGAAAAAAAAACGACAGTGTTACCCCTTACGTTTTTTTTGGGGGGCGAAAAATTAAGTTTCCCCAATCTTCTCAAAACTCTGGATTCTGATAGAGGGCCATGAGACTTAGACCTGAGTGCAAAAATGGAGGCTCTAGACCCTTCCAGAGCTGAGATATCGAAACTCAAAATTTCGACCAGAAAAAAAAACGACAGTGTTACCCCTTACGTTTTTTTTTTTTGGGCGAAAAATTAAGTATCCCCAATCTTCTCAAAACTCTGGATTCTGATAGAGGGCCATGAGACTTAGACCTGAGTGCAAAAATGGAGGCTCTAGACCCTTCCAGAGCTGAGATATCGAAACTCAAAATTTCGACCAGAAAAAAAAACGACAGTGTTACCCCTTACGTTTTTTTTTTTTGGGCGAAAAATTAAGTATCCCCAATCTTCTCAAAACTCTGGATTCTGATAGAGGGCCATGAGACTTAGACCTGAGTGCAAAAATGGAGGCTCTAGACCCTTCCAGAGCTGAGATATCGAAACTCAAAATTTCGACCAAAAAAAAAACGACAGTGTTACCCCTTACGTTTTTTTTTTTGGGCGAAAAATTAAGTATCCCAATCTTCTCAAAACTCTGGATTCTGATAGAGGGCCATGAGACTTAGACCTGAGTGCAAAAATGGAGGCTCTAGACCCTTCCAGAGCTGAGATATCGAAACTCAAAATTTCGACCAGAAAAAAAAACGACAGTGTTACCCCTTACGTTTTTTTTGGGGGCGAAAAATTAAGTTTCCCCAATCTTCTCAAAACTCTGGATTCTGATAGAGGGCCATGAGACTTAGACCTGAGTGCAAAAATGGAGGCTCTAGACCCTTCCAGAGCTGAGATATCGAAACTCAAAATTTCGACCAGAAAAAAAAACGACAGTGTTACCCCTTGTTTTTTTTTTTGGGCGAAAAATTAAGTATCCCAATCTTCTCAAAACTCTGGATTCTGATAGAGGGCCATGAGACTTAGACCTGAGTGCAAAAATGGAGGCTTAGACCCTTCCAGAGCTGAGATATCGAAACTCAAAATTTCGACCAGAAAAAAAAACGACAGTGTTACCCCTTACGTTTTTTTTTTTGGGGCGAAAAATTAAGTTTCCCCAATCTTCTCAAAACTCTGGATTCTGATAGAGGGCCATGAGACTTAGACCTGAGTGCAAAAATGGAGGCTCTAGACCCTTCCAGAGCTGAGATATCGAAACTCAAAATTTCGACCAGAAAAAAAAAACGACAGTGTTACCCCTTACGTTTTTTTTTTTTTGGGCGAAAAATTAAGTATCCCCAATCTTCTCAAAACTCTGGATTCTGATAGAGGGCCATGAGACTTAGACCTGAGTGCAAAAATGGAGGCTTTAGACCCTTCCAGAGCTGAGATATCGAAACTCAAAATTTCGACCAGAAAAAAAAACGACAGTGTTACCCCTTACGTTTTTTTTGGGGGCGAAAAATTACGTATCCCCAATCTTCTTGAAACTCTGGATTCTGATAGAGGGCCATGAGACTTAGACCTGAGTGCAAAAATGGAGGCTCTAGACCCTTCCAGAGCTGAGATATTGAGATCCCACATAGCATTTATACCACTATAAAAATCTCAATATCTAGATTTACATAACCATACATCTTAAACATGCTTATTTAAAATGTCTATTTACATCAGGAAGGAAAATATTGTATAAGTTTTGCAGGTGAGCACACCCCAACATGAAAAATACATCTGAGTGATGTAACGTTATGTGTGCTATCATGTATGATAATTCACTGTTGTCAACACTGCTAGACAAATGTGCTGTAAATAAGGCAAATAAACAGATCTAAAAAGTAACTAAACATGATATATATTTAATTTGTCCCTTATTAGTGTTGATATATTGAGGAACATTTAAGTTGAATTAAAAGTGAGTTAAGACATCAACCTCAGCATGTAGGCTAAATGCAGTTTTGAGCTCATAATGTGAATCTTGTCTGTATGTTACAGGGACAGAAGAACACGCATGTGTTTATCCGGTGGAGGCTTTGAGTGAGTATACTACAGAAATGGATAGAAATTACAACATTTTTCTGAGTCTTGATTTCTGTGCATTTGCTGCAGAGCTTTTGTGGTGGAGCAGGACCTGCAAGGAAAGATGATGGCAGTATTTGTTTGGGATAAAAAGTTTTGGGGATTTTACTCAAATATAAAGTAAGGTTATTTTTAATACATAAATCAAATGACATTGTCCTGTTAAAATGACTGCTTTTGTGTAATGTTTGTGCATGTTTGTAGGATCTGAAATGTCTGCAGACTGGTGTGAGCACTGCGGATGAGGAGCCCAGAGCTGAATCCTGGAAGTGGTCCCATGGATGAGATGCTCCATCTGCCCTTATGAGTCCCTCTATCGCTCCACCTGCCCTTATTGCCTCAGATTGTGAAGTGCAGCACAGCAACAAGCTCTGGGACGAAGGCACAGTCCCCTCTGGTGAATTCATCAGAATAAAGCTGCAGAATGGGAACCGCTGTGTTGAGTCGGCAGTAGGATGTGGTGTTCAGCGCCTGTGAATACATGCTTGTAGTTTGAATAAAGCTTTGTTTCATGTGTTGTTGACTTAAATATGCATTTGTTTATTGTGATGGTTACTTTTATTTGTTCTTTTACTTATTTATTCATGTTTCTTATTGTTGTCAGTATATAAAATGTAATTATTTAATTAATGTATGCATTAATTCATCGATTGACTGACAATTGAGATGTTTCACTGCATTTAGCAATATAAATGTATTCATGAATAACTGTCATATGACAAAACAAATTTCATTTTGCTTGTTTTATTAAATTATATTTTTAGTATGTAAAAAAGTTTTATAATTAAGTATTGGTCAGCATTTAATATTATTGTTGTTTAAGTTTTGGGGTGGGCTAACAATGCAATTCATTCTGAGGTCAAATTAATTTTTTAAGGAGTGATATTTACATTTTTTCAAGTATAAAATCAACAGTTTTCTCCAAAAGAGATCTTCGAGCTGCTGCCCGTCTCCTTTGTGGAGACATTACAAACGCAGAGGAAAGCTGTTCTAGGTTGTGCTGTCGAGTTACTGATGTTATGAAGTGTTAGTGCACCTGTTGCATATATAGTTTAAACTTATTAAATACAAGATCATGGAAAGATACCATAGTTGTATGTAACAATCATAATGACAAAACAGAAAATATAAGGATCATTGGTTTGTGTACATCATAATGTGACATCATAAAATTATATTTATACACTGGAAAAAACAATGACAAGGCTAAATATCTTCATAATGGTTCTTCATAATACATTGAAAAAAATGTGTTGTTGTTTTAAGTCTGAGGGATGAAACGAGGTAAATTAATCAAGAAAAAGAGGAAAACTTTAAGGAGAAACTTTTTTGGGTATAAAATAAAAAAATTAACAACATATTCAAGAGAAGACGATTTTGGGGTTTCTTAATTAAAAAAATATCGCTATAAGAATAACACTGTGGGTCACATTAGTAGGGTTTAAAATATAACAACTTAAATCAACCCTAAATGTATAAAAAAAGGGAAGCGGTTTCTTTATCAATACCACAACAAAATGAACAAGTTTCATCAATATCCAGATATTTATAGATAGTTGAATTAAACGTAGCCTATCCTTCATATATTTTAAGTTGTTGTGCTTGTGATAACGCTTAATAGGTCACATGATAACATCAACATGGCAGATGTCCGGTTCTCATTCATACTCAACGAGATTTGGTTATAAAGTACCTACTCTTTTAGCGCTCGTTGAGTAAGTACTTATAGAAATTAAGTAGCTACTAGAAATTAAGTATGCGGTTTGGAAAGCAGCCTCTATTTGAGCGCTGGAAGGGTCTAGAGCCTCCATTTTTACACTCAGGTCTAAGTCTCTTGGCCCTCTATTGGAATCCAGAGTTGCAAGAAGATCAGAGAAACTCAAAATTTCGACCCAAAAAAAAAAAGTTTGGTGCGAAAAAAAAGTTTCTCCAATCTTCGTAAAACTCTGGATTCTGATAGAGGGCCATGACACTTTGACCTGAGTGCAAAAAGTGAGGCTCTAGACCCTTACAGAGCTGAGATATCGAAATTCAAAATTTTGACCTGAAAAAAAAAACGACAGTGTTACCCCTTTCGTTTTTTTTTCGGGCGAAAAATGAAGTTTCTCCTTCTCAAAACTCTGGATTCTGATAGAGGGCCATGAGACTTTGACCTGAGTGCAAAAATGGAGGCTCTAGGCCCTTCCAGAGCTGAGATATCGAAATTCTAAATTTCGACCTGAAAAAAAAAACGACAGTGTTACCCCTTTCGTTTTTTTTTTTGGGTGAAAAATGAAGTTTCTCCAATCTTCTCAAAACTCTGGATTCTGATAGAGGGCCATGAGACTTAGACCTGAGTGCAAAAATGGAGGCTCTAGACCCTTCCAGAGCTGAGATATCGAAACTCAAAATTTCGACCCGAAAAAAAAACGACAGTGTTACCCCTTACGTTTTTTTTTTTTTGGGCGAAAAATTAAGTTTCCCCAATCTTCTCAAAACTCTGGATTCTGATAGAGGGCCATGAGACTTAGACCTGAGTGCAAAAATGGAGGCTCTAGACCCTTCCAGAGCTGAGATATCGAAACTCAAAATTTCGACCCGAAAAAAAAAACGACAGTGTTACCCCTTACGTTTTTTTTTTTTGGGGGGCGAAAAATTAAGTTTCCCCAATCTTCTCAAAACTCTGGATTCTGATAGAGGGCCATGAGACTTAGACCTGAGTGCAAAAATGGAGGCTCTAGACCCTTCCAGAGCTGAGATATCGAAATTCAAAATTTCGACCCGAAAAAAAAAACGACAGTGTTACCCCTTTCGGTTTTTTTTTTTCGGGCGAAAAATGAAGTTTCTCCAATCTTCTCAAAACTCTGGATTCTGATAGAGGGGCATGAGACTTTGACCTGAGTGCAAAAATGGAGGCTCTATACCCTTCCAGAGTTGAGATATGTTAAAGGATGTATAGGCCAAACCAGGTGTTATCAGAATCCCGATATTCACACGGCTCCATCACAACATGTCTTCATATTAGGGACTGAAGTGAGTGTTGGCAGTCAGGTGCTGGAGGAGTGGAGCAACGGATGTGAAGAGGACACAATCAGCGCCAACACGCACTCATGCACATAAACACTGCTGGGCTTATTACACACAGCACTGATCTGGCACTGCCCTACTGTGTACTTGACCAGACAGCAGGTCCACACCACAAACACATAAACACACACGCACACCACAGACAGTGTGTGAATCTCAACAAAACAAGATCCTGGTCACACTGCACCCTAAAATATAAATCAAAAATATAAAGACTTAGACCTGAGTGCAAAAATAGAGGCTATAGACCCTTCCAGAGCTGAGATATTGAGATATTTATAATGGCATAAACGCTACGTGGGATCCCAATATCTCAGCTCTGGAAGGGTCTAGAGCCTCCATATTTGCACTCAAGTCTAAGTCTCATGGCCCTCTATCAGAATCCAGAGTTTTGAGAAGATCGGAGAAACTTAATTTCTCACCCCGAAAAAAAAAACGAAAGGGTAAGTAACACTGTCGTTTTTTTTTTTTTTTGGTCGAAATTTTGAGTTTCTCTGATCTTCTCGAAACTCTGGATTCTGATAGAGGGCCATGAGACTTTGACCTGAGTGCAAAATGGAGGCTCTAGACCCTTCCAGAGCTGAGATATCGAATTTCAAAATTTCGACCCGAAAAAAAAACGACAGTGTTACCCCTTTCGTTTTTTGTTTTTTTTTGGGTGAAAAATGAAGTTTCTCCAATCTTCTCAAAACTCTGGATTCTGATAGAGGGGCATGAGACTTTGACCTGAGTGCAAAAATGGAGGCTCTAAACCCTTCCAGAGCTAAGATATAGAAATTCAAAATTTCGACCCGAAAAAAAAACGACAGTGTTACCCCTTTGGTTTTTTTTTTTCGGGCGAAAAATGAAGTTTCTCCAATCTTCTCAAAACTCTGGATTCTGATAGAGGGGCATGAGACTTTGACCTGAGTGCGAAAATGGAGGCTCTAGACCCTTCCAGAGCTGAGATATCGAAATTCAAAATTTCGACCCGAAAAAAAAAACGACAGTGTTACCCTTTGGTTTTTTTTTTTCGGGCGAAAAATGAAGTTTCTCCAATCTTCTCAAAACTCTGGATTCTTGTAGAGGGGCATGAGACTTTGACCTGAGTGCAAAAATGGAGGCTCTATACCCTTCCAGAGCTGAGATATGAAAGGATGTATAGGCCAAACCAGGTGTTATCAGACCCGAAAAAAAAAACGACAGTGTTACCCCTTTGAGTTTGTTGTTTTTTTTTTTTTTCGGGCGAAAAATGAAGTTTCTCCAATCTTCTCAAAACTCTGGATTCTGATAGAGGGGCATGAGACTTTGACCTGAGTGCAAAAATGGAAGCTCTAGACCCTTCCAGAGCTTAGATATCGAAATTCAAAATTTCGACCCGAAAAAAAACCCGACAGTGTTACCCCTTTCGTTTTTTTTTTTTTCGTGCGAAAAATGAAGTTTCTCCAATCTTCTCAAAACTCTGGATTCTGATAGAGGGGCATGACACTTTGACCTGAGTGCAAAAATGGAGGCTCTAGACCCTTCCAGAGCTGAGATATCGAAATTCAAAATTTCGACCCGAAAAAAAACGAGTGTTACCCCTTTCATTTTTTTTTTTTCGGGCGAAAAATGAAGTTTCTCCAATCTTCTCAAAACTCTGGATTCTGATAGAGGGCCATGAGACTTTGACCTGAGTGCAAAAATGGAGGCTCTAGACCCTTCCAGAGCTAAGATATAGAAATTCAAAATTTCGACCCGAAAAAAAAAACGACAGTGTTACCCCTTTGGGTTTTTTTTTCGGGCGAAAAATGAAGTTTCTCCAATCTTCTCAAAACTCTGGATTCTGATAGAGGGGCATGAGACTTTGACCTGAGTGCGAAAATGGAGGCTCTAGACCCTTCCAGAGCTGAGATATCGAAATTCAAAATTTCGACCCGAAAAAAAAAACGACAGTGTTACCCATTTGGTTTTTTTTTTTCGGGCGAAAAATTAAGTTTCTCCAATCTTCTCAAAACTCTGGATTCTGATAGAGGGGCATGAGACTTTGACCTGAGTGCAAAAATGGAGGCTCTATACCCTTCCAGAGTTGAGATATGTTAAAGGATGTATAGGCCAAACCAGGTGTTATCAGAATCCCGATATTCACACGGCTCCATCACAACATGTCTTCATATTAGGGACTGAAGTGAGTGTTGGCAGTCAGGTGCTGGAGGAGTGGAGCAACGGATGTGAAGAGGACACAATCAGCGCCAACACGCACTCATCCACATAAACACTGCTGGGCTTATTACACACAGCACTGATCTGGCACTGCCCTACTGTGTACTTGACCAGACAGCAGGTCCACACGCACAAACACATAAACACACACGCACACCACAGACAGTGTGTGAATCTCAACAAAACAAGATCCTGGTCACACTGCACCCTAAAATATAAATCAAAAATATAAAGACTTAGACCTGAGTGCAAAAATAGAGGCTATAGACCCTTCCAGAGCTGAGATATTGAGATATTTATAATGGCATAAACGCTACGTGGGATCCCAATATCTCAGCTCTGGAAGGGTCTAGAGCCTCCATATTTGCACTCAAGTCTAAGTCTCATGGCCCTCTATCAGAATCCAGAGTTTTGAGAAGATCGGAGAAACTTAATTTCTCGCCCCGAAAAAAAAAACGAAAGGGGTAAGTAACACTGTCGTTTTTTTTTGGTCGAAATTTTGAGTTTCTCTGATCTTCTCGAAACTCTGGATTCTGATAGAGGGCCATGAGACTTTGACCTGAGTGCAAAAATGGAGGCTCTAGACCCTTCCAGAGCTGAGATATCGAATTTCAAAATTTCGACCCGAAAAAAAAACGACAGTGTTACCCCTTTCGTTTTTTGTTTTTTTTTGGGTGAAAAATGAAGTTTCTCCAATCTTCTCAAAACTCTGGATTCTGATAGAGGGGCATGAGACTTTGACCTGAGTGCAAAAATGGAGGCTCTAAACCCTTCCAGAGCTAAGATATAGAAATTCAAAATTTCGACCCGAAAAAAAAACGACAGTGTTACCCCTTTGGTTTTTTTTTTCGGGCGAAAAATGAAGTTTCTCCAATCTTCTCAAAACTCTGGATTCTGATAGAGGGGCATGAGACTTTGACCTGAGTGCGAAAATGGAGGCTCTAGACCCTTCCAGAGCTGAGATATCGAAATTCAAAATTTCGACCCGAAAAAAAAAACGACAGTGTTACCCCTTTGGTTTTTTTTTTTCGGGCGAAAAATTAAGTTTCTCCAATCTTCTCAAAACTCTGGATTCTTGTAGAGGGGCATGAGACTTTGACCTGAGTGCAAAAATGGAGGCTCTATACCCTTCCAGAGCTGAGATATGTTAAAGGATGTATAGGCCAAACCAGGTGTTATCAGAATCCCGATATTCACACGGCTCCATCACAACATGTCTAAGTCTAAGTCTCATGGCCCTCTATCAGAATCCAGAGTTTTGAGAAGATCGGAGAAACTTAATTTCTCGCCCCGAAAAAAAAACCAAAGGGGTAACACTGTTGTTTTTTTTTTTTTGGTCGAAATTTTGAGTTTCTCTGATCTTCTCGAAACTCTGGATTCTGATAGAGGGCCATGAGACTTAGATCTGAGTGCAAAAATGGAGGCTCTAGACCCTTCCAGAGCTGACATATAGAAACTCAAAATTTCGACCAGAAAAAAAAAACGACAGTGTTACCCCTTTGGTTGTTTTTTTTCGGGCGAAAAATGAAATTTCTCCAATCTTCTCAAAACTGTGGATTCTGATAGAGGGGCATGAGACTTTGACCTGAGTGCAAAAATGGAGGCTCTAGACCCTTCCAGAGCTGAGATTTCGAAATTCAAAATTTCGACCCGAAAAAAAAAACGACAGTGTTACCCCTTTCGGTTTTTTTTTTTCGGGCGAAAAATGAAGTTTCTCCAATCTTCTCAAAACTCTGGATTCCGATAGAGGGGCATGAGACTTTGACCTGAGTGCAAAAATGGAGGCTCTAGACCCTTCCAGAGCTGAGATGTCGAAATTCAAAATTTCGACCCGAAAAAAAAAACGACAGTGTTACCCCTTTCGTTTTTTTGGGGGGTGAAAAATGAAGTTTCTCCAATCTTCTCAAAACTCTGGATTCTGATAGAGGGGCATGAGACTTTGACCTGAGTGCAAAAATGGAGGCTCTAGACCCTTCCAGAGCTGAGATATCGAAATTCAAAATTACGACCCGAAAAAAAAAACGACAGTGTTACCCCTTTCGTTTTTGTTTTTTTTTCGGGCGAAAAATGAAGTTTCTCCAATCTTCTCAAAACTCTGGATTCTGATAGAGGGGCATGAGACTTTGACCTGAGTGCAAAAATGTAAGCTCTAGACCCTTCCAGAGCTGAGATATCGAAATTCAAAATTTCGACCCGAAAAAAAAACGACAGTGTTACCCCTTTCGTTTTTTTTTTTTTCGGGCGAAAAATGAAGTTTCTTCAATCTTCTCAAAACTCTGGATTCTGATAGAGGGGCATGAGACTTTGACCTGAGTGCAAAAATGGAGGCTCTAGACCCTTCCAGAGCTGAGATATCGAAATTCAAAATTTCGACCCGAAAAAAAAAACGACAGTGTTACCCCTTTCGTTTTTTTTTTCGGGCGAAAAATGAAGTTTCTCCAATCTTCTCAAAACTCTGGATTCTGATAGAGGGGCATGAGACTTTGACCTGAGTGCAAAAATGGAGGCTCTAGACCCTTCCAGAGCTGAGATATCGAAATTCAAAATTTCGACCCGAAAAAAAACGAGTGTTACCCCTTTCATTTTTTTTTTTTTTCGGGCGAAAAATTAAGTTTCTCCAATCTTCTCAAAACTCTGGATTCTGATAGAGGGCCATGAGACTTTGACCTGAGTGCAAAAATGGAGTCTCTAGACCCTTCCAGAGCTGAGATATTGAGATCCCACATAGCATTTATGCCACTATAAAAATCAGGTCAGATACCTGTCCTAACTGTATGTGCATCAAATACCTGTGTGTGTGTGTTTACAGGGGTTTCATGTCAGATACCTGTCCTAACTGTACATCTGCATCAGATACCTGTGTGTGTGTTTACAGGGGCTTCATGAGATACCTGTCCTAACTGTATGTGCATCAAATACCTGTGTGTGTGTGTTTACAGGGGTTTCATGTCAGATACCTGTCCTAACTGTACATGTGCATCAGATACCTGTGTGTGTGTTTACAGGGGCTTCATGAGATACCTGTCCTAACTGTATGTGCATCAGATACCTGTGTGTGTGTTTACAGGGGTCTCACATCAGATACCTGTCCTAACTGTACATCTGCATCAGATACCTGTGTGTGTGTTTACAGGGGCTTCATGAGATACCTGTCCTAACTGTACGTCTACATCAGATACCTGTGTGTGTGTTTACAGGGGTTTCACGTCAGATACCTGTCCTAACTGTACATGTGCATCAGATACCTGTGTGTGTGTTTACAGGGGCTTCATGAGATACCTGTCCTAACTGTACGTCTACATCAGATACCTGTGTGTGTGTTTACAGGGGTTTCACGTCAGATACCTGTCCTAACTGTACATCTGCATCAGATACCTGTGTGTGTGTTTACAGGGGCTTCATGAGATACCTGTCCTAACTGTACATGTGCATCAGATACCTGTGTGTGGTTACAGGGGTTTCACGCGAGATACCTGTCCTAACTGACAAATATAGATGTAAATGTGCTAAAAAGTGACCGTCAAAAATTCATAGCAGTTTTTTAAACATATTTGGAGCCAAATGTGACAAAATGCTGCTGTTATTTTCAGCGTGAGCCGCTTTACAAACGGCGCCCCATATAAGTAAACCTCTGCTTTAACATTTGATGTGTATGTACGTCACGTTGTACAATTTTTACGGGGGCCCCAGAACAAATAGAATAGGACAATGTAGAACGAAATTTCTTCAAAAAGCAGATCATGGAGACATTTTAATCGTCCACGATATATATAACACCCTTAGCCTGGTTCAAACTCTCAGGTCGGTTTAATTTAATGTAGATAGCTACCTGCGCAATTAATTCAAGCCCCCAGGATCACATAAAAGAGATGAATCCCTTAATACATTGATTGTCATTCATGATAATTCAAATCATTTGCATTGAGTCGTTTGATAGCAGAGGCCACAAAGAAGCCTGATTAGCATTGGGTATCTTAAGACCACACAGTTGACAAAGTTGCCAGGGAACCAGAGTGTATTTTATCCGATAATAATAGGCCTACTTACACAAATGTTTCTTCTCATACGTCAACTTCAATCAGGCAGAAAGCGTCAGTCCAACTTATACTGTCTTTTCATTAGCTCTTATGAAATTTTGATGCCAACTTGTTTTGCATTTTCTGTGGAAAAAACTTGAGTAAATTTATCATAAGACCAGATTTTCAATGGATTTATTTGAAAAATACACACCATCAAATATGATTCCTTTCCACTTCATATGTCATTACAAAAACAATACAAACTGCAGAAAGATTCAGACTATACAGACACCAGAGATATGAGGTTAACACGACATTGCACAAGATTCTCAAGAAGTCAAGCGTCCTCTGAGGCACAGAATGTAGATCTTGTTAAAGTTCATTGAAGCAATGTTAGGCAAACGACAGGTATCTAAAGCATAATGAGTAAAAACTGAAATAACAGCTGAGTACAGCATGTATAAATATTAAGGTAACTCTTTACAATAGCATTTTATTAGTTAACATGAACCAACAACAATAACCATGTAAGATTAATAAATGCTGTAAAAGTTCATTTCAACATTTACTAACATTATTAAAATCAAAAGTTTTATATTTGTTAACATTAATACACTGTAAACTAACATGAAGAAACAATGAACAAAGATGAATAAATACTGTAACAAATGCATTGCTCATTGTTAGTTCAAGTTAGTTAATACATTAATGTTAACAAATGAGACCTTACTGTAAAGCGTTACCAATATTAAAAATTCAAATACCAAAAAGAAATGTAAAAAAATAAGAAACCAACATTGCCAAGTTGGTTAGGTATATTGATTTCAAAATGCGAGTGCTCTTTTTTTTCTGATTTGTACACAATTCACACATTCATTTAATTACAGTCCATATGACCATATTATGTCAAAACTTGTTTTAAGAGAAATGTGATGTCAAGTGTTTGATATCACTGTCAGTTGGAGTTGGCTTAGTACCATCTCACACTTCTGGTACGAATACTGAATTTCACAACACATGGCAAACAAGAATGAACACTTAAGTTTTGTTTGGGTGTAACAAATGAAAAAAAAAGAAAAAAAGATAAGGTTCCTCAAACACTCAGCCCAAATGAGAGCACTACAATAGAGAAAAGCAACACAGAATCCGTTTAAGGCAGGAAATGGACCTCATCCTGTGGCGGCTGGCGAGTTCTGGAGAATTTCCAAAGATCAGTAGCTCAGCTCACAGTGGAGGCAAACCCACAATTGAGGAGTGCTTGATTCTATACAAATTGCTTACAAATAGAGAAAGGTACACACTTCACTTCTTGAAATATATCACTTATATAAATCAGCAATACAAATGCACTTTTTTCCTTTTCAGGAAACTGGTACTAAAATACTTATAAAATTACTTTGTGTACAATTTAATTTATTCTGATCATGTATAGATTCACTAAAACCTATGAAAATATTATTTGGTTATTTAAAACTTGTGACCCTCAAATTAGTCCTTTTATTATTGATTATCTTAAGCATCAGAACCTAATTAAGGGTTGTTTTTAAATCTAGCAGATATGAATTTGTTTGAAAATCTGTAGCTTTATAAACGACACTGCAAACAGCTAAAGACTTTAGCTGGAACCTGATAAAACATTTCTTTTAGTATGTATGTGTATATATATATATATATACACACACACACTGTGCAATATATAGTAATAGTATACCACGAAAAGCTGTGATAAAGTTGAAGTCTAGGCCACCTGTTACTAGCAAAACGTTCATAATAAATAATGACCTTTTGCTCTATCAATGCAAACAGCCCAGAGAAAAATCTGCAGTTCTGCTGCATTTGTCATTGTGCTTAAGTCTAAGTCCATTTGCAGGGCTGATGGGATACCCTATGCCGCAGGATCAGCCTGTGGTGAGATCAGAGCCAGCAGTCTCCAAAGTCTCAGCAATTTCACCCAACTCATCTTGAAGCTCTGTGAAAGAGGGTCTCCGGAAAGCCTCTAACTGCATGAGACAGAACAGGCTTTCAGATGGTAATGCATCACATCCTTTTACAGGGAACAGGGTTTGTTAGCTTTTAGGCATAACTGAAAGGAAATGAGTCCATTTTTATATACACAAAAGGTCACTTACCAGACAGCAGCTGGCTGCCAGCTCCAAAAGATGCTGAGGACACCCACTGACCATTTTCCGGAAAGCTGACACATCCAGGCCGTAATCCTGCCACACACAATCATAAATGCATACATGGACGGTAGATTTTAATGAAAAAAATTAATGTGCTTCTGATACTGGATGTGTCAATAATGCTATTTATATTCACCTGTGTTCTTGGAAGGATTTCTGGGTCTGCTGGGATCCTAGCCAGAATTTCACACAGAACAATTCCAAAAGAGAACACATCCACCTAACACATAAATCAAAATCATCAAGTGAGAACAACCAATGCGTTAGGACACTGTGTTCACAGGAGCACAGTTTCACACAGAGTCATCATCACCTTGCGGTCATAGGGCTCCCCGCGCAGCATCTCAGGGGCCATCCAGAAGGCGGAGCCCACGAGTGAAAGCTTCCTGTCCTTTGCAGGAAGTTCTACCACCTCTCGAGCCAGACCAAAATCAGTCACCAGCGCTTCTTTGCCCCTCGTTGTCACCCTTATTAGACAATTCTTCGGGATACACAAACATACACACTTTTTATATTTTACTATTCATTTCTTTTCACTTTTTGGATTGTAAATACAGTAGCACTTAAGTTTTACAACAGTTAAAATAGAAATATTGTCAAATATTATTATTATTTAAAATAACTTTTCTATTTTAATATATTTACAAATGCAATTTATTTTAAGACTGGAGTAATGATGTTGAAAATACAGCTTTGCCACCAGTGTCACATGATCCTTCAGAAATCATCCGAACTTTAAAACATTTAAACTTTAAAACAATAGAGTATATGACATTAGATTTGCTAATAAATAACTGCATGTTATGGATTAATATTAAGTTTCCTTTTAAATAATGAGGTCATATGTCATTAAATTATGTTAAATCAAATATACCAGATATTGCCAGGGAAAAGAAAATGTTTACCGTACATTTTTAAACAAGCACCTTGGGTTACAGAATCATTTTAGTTGAGTTTTTCTTCACTGCCAAAAGGGGGCAGCAAAAACTAGCATAACATTTCATGACTCATTCTCAATCTTCTCCAAAAACTTACACAGCCTTCCAAAATCTAAATGCATATTAAAATAACACATTTATATGGCAGACATTTAAAATACAGTTTCTAAAAACAAAACAAAAACAAACAAACTAAAGGCTTGAACCTGTGCTGTCTCACTTGACTTTGGACTTTGTTTCAACATAAACTAAATACACAAGGTAAATGGCATCTAAATGCAATACAGATCAAATGCATTTACATTTTTTCATTTAGCAGATGCTTTTATCCAAAGCGACTTACAAATGAGATCAATAGAAGCAGTTCAACTAACAATAGGTCAACAATATGCAAATGCTATGACCCTTCTCAGTTTATCCATTTATTATCTTTAAAAAAAGAAGAGATAAAGTGTTAGTATTAATGGACCAAGTGTTGCCGAAAAAGATGCGTCTTCAGCCGTTTCTTGAAAATGATCACGGACTCCGAGCCCACAACTCTGGTTGAGTTGGGCAGGTCATTCCACCAGCATGGAACACACCAGAAAAAGGTCAGAAAGAGATTTTGTGCCTCTGTGAGATGGCACCACAAGATGGCGTTCACTTGCAGAGCTATTTTATATTTACAAGATAAATGTACACAAACCTAACTAGGATACATGACAGCCATTTTGTTCTTTATTATCTCTAGCATGTAATGTCCCTTTAGAGACAATGTGCTTAGCAGCAGAAGTAAAACTCCCAGGCCCAAATGAAATACGTTCCTCATCATCACCGCCTCTGTTTAATGAATTATTCAGCTGACCCTGTACCTCGCCAAAGGGTCTGGACCAACTACAACTCCTCTCTCGAACATCCCTGGGGTACCAATATGCAATATTATACCTCGCTTTCAGTTTAAATGGTCTCTAGCGATGATGTGTCATGGTTACAAGCATACCATTTAGTCTGAATATCGGTTTAAAACAAAATTATTGTGGCTGTAATAAAAATGGGCTGTTATTTTAGAGGAAAGGCAAATGTGGAGACACTGAAGCTGACCAGAGTAAGTACAACCGAGACGTTACATAAGACCAGTGGGAATCTTGGAGAAGTGCTGATGGATAAAACAGTAAGTTCTGCATCTGGATTGAATTAGAAACCTCAGCTAAGCCTCCATCCCAAAAACTGACCTATGATTACAGGACTAAGAAAATTCCAAGCACAGCCCTGAGCCTAGAAGCCTCCAAATTTAGAACAGTAGCTCATGCACATACAGTAGCTCAAGTGTTTGGCTGTACAGCTAATGGGTGGGTTTAAAAGCAAAGTACTGAGGTTGTTTGACTCGATATGGAGAGTCACAGGAACACCCGTTCAATATCTCATTAATGCAATTATCTAATCAACCAATCACATGGCAGTTGTTTCAATGCATTTAGGGGTGTGGTCCTGGTCAAGACAATCTCCTGAACTCCAAACTCAATGTCTGAATGGGAAACAAAGGTGATTTAATGGCATGGTTGTTGGTGCCAGACGGGCCAGTTTGAGTATTTCACAATTTGCTCAGTTACTGGGATTTTCACGCACAACCATTTCTATGGTTTACAAAGAATGGTGTGAAAAGGGAAAAACATTCAGTATGCGGCAGTCCTGTGGACAAAAATGCTGCGTTGATTCTAGAGTTCAGAGGAGAATGGGCCGAAGGTTAAAACCGAGGTATGCAGCAAAGCATTTGTGAAGCCACAACACGCACAACCTTGAGGCAGATGGACTAAAACAGCAAAAGACCCCACCGGGTACTACTCATCTCCTCTACAAATAGGAAAAAGAGGCTATAATTTGCAAGAGATCATGATGAGTCTCGATTTCTGTTGAGACATTCAGATGGTAGAGTCAGAATTTGGTGTAAACAGAATGAGAACATGGATCCAGCATCATGCCTTGTTACCACTGTGCAGGCTGGTGGTGGTGTAATGGTGTCTGGAATGTTTTCTCGGCACACTTTAGGCCCCTTAGTGCCAATTGGGCATCGTTTAAATGCCACGCCTACCTGAGCATTGTTTCTGACCATGTAAATCCCTTTATGGCCACCATGCACCCATCCTCTGATGGCTACTTCCAGTAGGATAAAGCACCATGTCACAAAGCTCAAATCATTTCAAATTGGTTTCTTGAACATGACAATGAGTTCACTGTACTAAAATGGCCCCCACAGTCACCAGATCTCAACCCAATTGAGCATCTTTGGGATGTGGTGGAATTAACGGGAGCTTCGTGCCCTAGATGTGCATCCCACAAATCTCCATCAACTGCAAGATGCTATCCTATCAATATGGGCCAACATTTCTAAAGAATGCTTTCAGCACATTGTTGAATCAATGCCAAATAGAATTAAGGCAGTTCTGAAGGCGAAAGGTTTGATCCGATATTTAAATCCTGTAGTTCTAAAACACTTTGTGCCATTCAGCCAGATGAACCCTTTCACCTCCTCTAAAATAATATTCCACAAGCTGTTAAAAACACCAGCTTTATGGATGCAGTAAACTTTAATAACTTCTATTTTCTGATATCTTCCCACAGTCAAATGCCAACTGCAGAGCAGTGGAAACCAATCGATGATCCCTCTAACCGACGTGCTAGATGTCACGGTTGTGTAAACCGTTTGGCTGGCATTCTTGTTTCCTCATTGTTCATATCTGAATAGCTGACAAATAGGCAGTGGCATAGAGACGAGGGTAAAAAAAAAAGGAGGAGGGGGATCTGCAAGCCTATACACTGTTTGTGCATTTTGCATTTTCAAATGAGATGGGAAGGGTTGGGGAGAGAGTGTGTATGTGACACAGAAAGACTGAGTGGGAGAGTTTATTACCATCACAATAGACTGGCCTTGTTGCCTCGCCCTTCACCCCAGGTTTGGTGAGCACTTCTGTGAATCCTGGCAACCAATGACACTCTGACGTAAACATCTATGTCTGCTGTATTTTCTCGGGGGAGAATTCCGTGTAAAGACTAGACAACCATTCCCTGAGATCTGATGATTGCTGTTCAGTTATATCATCTATGCTTTCCATTCTCAATTTATATGTACAGTTTGTTCGTAACTAAAGAGTCCTGCTGTACCTTAGAGTTCAGATCTCTGTGATAGATGTTCTTGAAGTGGAGGTAAATCATCCCTCTGGTGATGTCAGAGGCCAGGTCAACTTTCTCTCTCCAGCACAGAGGCATGTCTTTCCTGGCCAACAGCTCCTCTAAACATCCTCCACTGACATACTGTCAAGAAAAACACAATCAGAGAGGGAAAGAAACAAACACTTTACTTTTATTCTTATAATTATGTGCAGGTCTCCACAATAAGGAAGTCTCGAGGGCCTGTGTAATGTAATACATATATAAAATAAAACAAAATTATAACAACAAAGAGGTACATTTTATATAAAATAACAATATTTTCCACTCCTTAGCTCGATCAGTTTCATCTGTAGAAATATCTTTTCAATATCTAATATTTAATCGTCTAATATCTAATATGTGATTAATTATTGGTAGTAAATAGAGAAAATGTCAAATAAATATTTTCTGAAATGTATATATTAGTGGCAGAGAAAGAAGAAAACAAATCTATATTGTTGGGCCCTGATAATGCAAATCACATGTGCAATTACAAAGCATCATATATTTGGGTTATTTCTAAGCACAATAAAATGTATAAAAATAAATTCAAACTGCGAAACAAACCATTTCATTCTAAGATGGAGATCTCACCTCCAGAATTGGGTACAGCTTGTCCTCTTTGACACAAATACCCAGATACCTGAAAAAAGAAAAAGAAATGATAATAATAATACACTTTATTTATAATGCGCATTTGTAAAACCAAAAGGGCCAATTTGAGATGAAAGAGGTGGTTATGAGCCAACAGTATGACATGTTCCCTAAAATTGCAATGCTGAGTAAGTTAAAACACAGTCCAAATCATTTGTCAAATGCTCGATAAGTCGATCCCCGAATGCCGTTCATACAGTTCAGAAGTTCGTTGAACTTCATACAGTTCAGCTCACTCAGCACGACGCTCGTGGTTTGACTTGTCGTGACTGTTTTCCAAGATGGCTCCTGACTGTATACATGAAGTGAACTGACTTTATAAAGTATCTTCTTATTAAACGGTCTGTACACTTACAAAGTTCTCAAAGCTTCGTTTTGCATGTAGGGACCCTCATTATGTTACTGTGTTAGTGTGAGGCTATTTTGAGCCTTGTTAGTGGTATAAACTAGCGATTTATTTTTACTTAGTAAATGCCGCCAGTACTAGCATTACATGCTAAACAGTTTTTATAGATAAAACTCTATTATCATGAAAACAAATCTCAGAGAACGGTTGACTAGGTACCGATGTTTTATTAGACCAAAACCTTTAATTTGTGCATGTATAATAATGTGTTGTGCTTGTCTCTGCGAGTATGCAAGTTAGTTTGTGTTTGAGTGTGTTTTTCTTTTGTACTCTTGTGTAAACTCTTCCTTGCTGTTATTTTTTTTATTTTTGACTACAATGTGACTGAATGGATTTTTTTTTCTCACACATTTGCATGTTCATATATATGTGTGGAGTGAGGGGTGCATTTATGCATTATTATGGATGTATTAGATATATGCATTGATATTTTAGAATGTCACCCTTTTTTGCTGTCCACTTTTTTCTGCAGTGGCTGATTTGTAGTTGTACCACCAAAGAATTCTGAGGTTTTTAAAAAAAATTTTGGTCTATTCTTGACTGGGAAGGAGCCAAGTGTGATATTTTTTTTACCCTTTAACATATCCGAATCATGTCCTTGATTATTTATTTTGTTCACATAGCTATTGTGACCAAGTCACCAAGTGTCATGCCATTCTGATTAAGCAAAAAATTAGCATCATATCATGAATAAATCAATAAAATGAGTAAATTCAATTAATTAATTCAGGGATACCTCACTATGTTGGGGTGTGAGAGTTTCTGCAGAAGGCTGATTTCTCTTACAATGCTGTCCTGATCAACATCATTCTTATAGATCTTTACTACCATCACCTTCCGCGTGGTGTTGTGGATGACCTGAAATTTAAGTGACAATAAAATGAAAAACAGAAGAGAGGGGAAGGGAATGAATCCTAAAGAGGTATTAAAACATTCGGATCACTCTCTACAGTACAATCAAAGAGCAAAGCTTCCATGTTAATATACAGGAAGGGACAAAACTGCTGAGACAGTTGAGCTGTGCAATCATCGCTTATGTAATTTACACAGCAGGGACTCATCAGGAATCCATTATTGGGTATGGTGTACTCGGCCACCAAGGGCCACCTCAAACTGGGCTTAGCTGACAAATGTCCTAATTAGTAGGACTACAATACTGCACTGTATGAGTGCCATTAAAACATACACACAAATAAATACAGCACAATGGGAGGGAGACCTTCTGCAGTACAATAGGATAATAACACATAATTTCCCTTAAGATCGAATGCATCACTATTCTTCATTCTTGTTGATGGACTTCACTATAAAACAATTCTGTAAAATGTTATGTAATAAATTAAAATAAATCAATATGCATGACGTAGTTAAGTGTATTTTTGAGCATTACCTTGTAAACCTTTGAGAAAAAGCCACTGCCAATCAGCTCATGTGTAAAGTTTTCCCAGAACTCAAGCTTGCGGACGGCTGTGCGTAGCTTCTGCCAGCGGTCCACATGGCAGTACGTATCAGAAGACTCTCTATACAGCGTCGGGCTGGTGGGCTCAGACGAAACATCCACCTCACACATCCTGGAGATATCCGCTGAGAATCGAACACACAAAGTGTTGAGAGAAACACCAAAGCTTTCCAAGAAGAGTGCTTAAAGGCAATTAAGCGTTAGAATACGATGTTAAAAAAAGTCTAACATTTACTGAAAAACGTGCAATAATCTTTTAAATCAAAAGAAATGCCTCTTTAAATATTCAATCAAGGAAGCACAAAGCTTAAACTGCCAAATAATTAGTAGCGGTCTTCTAAAGGAAGCAGTGTATGAAAGTGAGGCTCTTGGTTTGAAGCTTATACAGTGAGTACTGGATTAGCTCAATGAGTAGGAAGGCTCTCTCGTCTGCTACAGCGGGGTATAAAAGTGAGAGAAGAACGATGTCTTAAAATAGCCATGAACAGCATGCAGATAAAGATTCATGCAGGTGAATGATGTTCTTGATCAAAACACAAATGAGACCTCAACAACTACTGCTTTTTTACTTATTTACTCATTTTGTAACTCCAAACACTTTTGTAAACGAAAAAAAGGTGATATGAAGAGTTCAGATGCAAAAGCCTCTAAGTGCCATTTGAAATTTTCTTCTAGAATGATCATTTTTATCAATCTTGTATATTTAAGTTCAGTGATTTCACTTAAATGGCAATGGTAATTACCTATTAATTGTTATTTAAGTGAAATTACTGAACTTAAATATACAAGTTTGATAAAAATCATCATTAAAGAAGAAAATTTCAAATGGCATTTAGAGGCTTTTGCATCTGAACTCTTCATATTTAGAAGTACGGACCGTCAGATCTTTTAACAGAAGAACACAGTGACCACAGACAATAGGGGTATATTTGAAGGGTTCAGATGCAAAAGCCTCTAAGTGCCATTTGAAATTTTCTTCTAGAATGATAATTTTTATCAAGCTTTTATATTTAAGTTCAGTGATTTCACTTAAATGGCAATGATAATTACCTATTAATTGTTATTTAAATGAAAATAACTGAACTTAAATATACAAGTTTGATAAAAAATCATCATTAAAGAAGAAAATTTCAAATGGCATTTAGAGGATTTTGCATCTGAACTCTTCATTTATTTATGTGGTGTTTCTTGTCCTTTTTGGAGCCCATTAACACATTCCTGAGTTTAACTGCATACAGCAAAAGCATAGAAAAGGAAGTCATGGGTTTTAAACAACTTGAAGATAAATGACAGTTTAGATTTTCACTTTAACTGCCCATCATATTTGGTAAGGCTTTTTAATAATATAAATGTACCGCTCAAAAGTTTGAGGTCAGTGAGATTTTTCTGTGATAAATTAATACTTTATTAAAATAAATAAATTGATCAAAAGTAGTTTTATTCAGACGAGTTCAATTTCAGATAAATGCTGTTCTTTTGAACTCTATTCACCAAATAATACTAATTTTTTTGTGTGCAATTACTACAGAAATATTAAGCAACAACTGCAATAACAAGAAGAAAAGTTTCTTGAGCACCAACTGAGAATTTTACAATGATTTCTAAGGGATCATCCAACTGAAAACTGGAACTATGGCTGCCAAAAACATAGTTAATTGTAATGCTCTTTCAAAATATCAGTGTTTTTATTGTATTTTTAACAAATAAATGCAGCCTTGAAGACCATAGGAGACTTACATATCGTACTGTATAGGTTGGAAGTCTGACTCTAAACCCACACAGGGTATTTGCAACATGAAATGTCGCACATTGCTGTGGTTGAGCAAAATCAGCAAAAATATAAACTAAACAGTAGAACACTAGTAAAACAAGTATTCTCCAACTTGACACACACCTGTAATATCTAAAAACACAATCAACACCACTAGGTTAGTGTCAGTTCACTCTTGGTTCATTTAATATGTGGGGTCTAGACTTGTGCTTGCAACTTAATGCATCAGTATTTCCATGTTGGGGAGACACTGAGAATAAAGTGGGGCGTTAAAGTCAATGGGGACTGTCATCACAGCCCAATGATGCTGCCGGGAAAGAGCACGGAGTGGCACGCATACACAACCCGCCGGGCTTTGTCACTTAAGCGAGAATCATCTAGCCGTATTCATCAAGGGTAGCGCACACATGCAGTCTTTGTGTTTCCAGCAACAGGCGCACAAACACAGCCCTTTCAGTTTTACAACCTCACTAAAAAGCTAAATGCTTAGAGTGCAATCCTCGTCTCTTCCATCCACCATTTTCTATACTTAGACTAATGCCAGCATGATAAATAAAAGACTCCAAGAGTGACTTCAGACTTTTGAAGGTGCCTCTAAAGCTTTTGTGTACGCTTACAATACAGACTCACTATTTTTGACATCAGACCTCAAATGGAGTTTGAGCACATACATTCAGAAAATAATGACAGTAATCAATTAAATAAACATATTACAGGGAACATCCTACTGATTTATAACAGCTGACATCTCCAGTCAGATCAAGCATGCAAGCTGTTTTAATATTAGACAAAAGACAAGTTATCATTACAGTGATGAAATTCACTAAAGGAAGTGGTTTCAACCTCCCATTTACTCAGGGAGGAAACAGCCGCCATCTAAGTGGCAGTCAACATCTGCCCTCACACAGGAGACTCAGGGTTTGTGAAATATGCGGGTCAAAAGGAGACATTGACTCAAAGTTTACACAGCACGCATCACGTCAGAGGATGCCATCATGAGACCCGCAACCTGCCTTCACATGCACACGAGAGGAAATGGACGCTCAACTTTTACAGGAACACTAATGCGTCAGCATGCAGTAATATGATGAAATTAGTTATGTAGAAGCTATAAAGGACTAAAAATTAAACATTATGAAGTACATCTAAATAAAAAAAATACATCTCTTAAAACATTAAAGCAGATCTGCTCTTGGTATCAAGTGAACAATTGTTTGTCTGATCAAAACAGGAAGTATGTTTTTTTTTCAACCTTGAAAGGAAAAAAACTTGCCTGAATTTAGATGTTAGGGTAACACTTTATTTGAAGGGGTGTGCATAAGACTGACATGACATAACACCTGTCATGAACATGAATGAGTCTTTATGAATGTTTATGACTGTTGTCATTAAGTGTCATTCGGGGTAAATTATGACAGTTTTAATGCAAAGTTGACATTGTTTAAAATGTCTTTGTTATGACAACTTGACATTAACAAAGACAGAAATGTCTTGATTATGACAAATTGACATTAACCAAGACAAAAATGTCTTGATTATGACAACTTGACATTAACAAAGACAGAAATGTCTTTGTTATGACAACTTGACATTAACCAAGAAATCATAACTAGTCCAACGTGTTCCACTTTACTTGAGGTAAAGGGACCTATTAATGACACTGTTAAAGCATTTGACAGTGTAATATCCCTTAATGACATCTTTATAACTAGTACAATGTGTTCCAGTTTACTTGAGGACAAGTAAAATATTCATAGTTATAATGGTGTCATGACAATCAAAGTTAAAACCAACCATAACATATGACAGGGTAATGTAATGTTAACACAAAGCTAAATAACATCCTTAAGTTTGATAATTAGACCTGTTATGACATATTTGTGACAGGACAGGTTATAATTTCTTGGTTAATTTAATGTCAAGTTAACAAAGACATTTTTTGTCTTTGTTAATGTCAAATTTTTATAACAAAGGCATTTTAAATAATGTCAACTTGGCATTAAAAGTGTCATAATTTATCTTATGACACTTAATGACAAGTCATAAACATTTATAAAGACTCCTTCATGTTCATGACAGGTGTTATGTCATGTTTATGACACTATGTCAGTCTTATGCACACCCCTTCAAATAAAGTGTTACCATGCTGGTATCACTTTGCATGCAGTTAGATTTCTTAATTGGCCAGATGTTGGATTAATAAAACATTTGTGAGATTAATGTGTATCATCATTATTTAAATGCATTTATAATAGTTAATAATACATTTCATTTAAAATGTTTTTCACTCGCATTTTTAGTAAGTCTATTATGTGCTTGTCATTTCTATATTTATCTTGAAATTAGTAATGTAATACTTAAAATTAGATTTCAGTTAATTGCCAAGCCGACATTTGTAATTTTATGTTTTATGCAAGATTCATCATTTTATTTCAAATATATTTCAGTTAATGAAAACCATTTAAAACATTCAGTTAACAATAACACTGATCTTATTTTATTTTATTGAGGATAGAATATGCTGTAAAAGGTCATTTGCAGCAGTAACATGAAAAATGGGTCCTGAACATTCTCAGAAAAGCCTAGGCCAGAACAAAGATGAGAACCCGTGATAAGAACATGCGAGAACGTCACATGATCAAGTCATGAAATTCACACCAAGTAAATTGCTCCTGTACTATTGTCCATAATCACACCATAATAGCATAAATGCTCAACATGCCACGCATTTGTTTTTGCGACATTCTTTTAATCCACATCACGACAAGTTCTCCCTCTCTCCGCACACGGTTTTCTCATGTGCTTCTGGGATTGGTGTGAACTGCAGGGGCAGAAGCTGAGGTCTGTTCCAGACTGGATCTGTTGGAGAAGAGAGAGCTTTGGCATCACTCCAGAGATCTCCCCCTCACATTCTCTCCCACTCTCTACACTAAACAACATTCAGCACAGTGGCATACCAAACATCAAAAATGTCAAAAGTCTTACTGATGTTTTTCTCTTTTCTATCTCTGCCTGTCTGGGTTTTTTTTTTTCTTGGAGTTTTAGGAGCACTGCTTTCTGCATGTTTAAATGCAGCATGTTGAATTGATCAAACTAAATTAAGCAATTTAGGTGTGATGACTAGTCGTGATGATTTTGTTAAGTCTGGAGCCCACCTGTCTGGGGGGGAAAAAAAAATCAAAGGAACAGCAAGAGAAATCTAGTTTCCCCAATAATGACTTTGAACAGAGACTGCTGTGTCACAATGATTTGCTGCCTAATAGGCTAAATTTGCAAACAGGGACAAAATAACTGATCCAGAGAAGCTTACAGTTTATCTGCTGAACTTATATATGGTATCAGTGATATATATTATCTAAGCTAAACCATGGAAAGGCTCTGGTACTATGGAAAAAAACCTGTGATAAGAGAAGAATAATTTCGCTCTTTTGCAATACATGCACTAAAACAATTCAAAAACTAGGCCTACGTAAATAACTACATACTAGGTATTTTGAAACTGTAATGTCATACACTATTGTCCAAATGTTTATGGTTAATTATTTCTTAAAACAAGTTTATTATACTCACAAGGGCTGCAATTATTTGATAAAACATGTAATATTGTGAAATATTACAATTTATTTTAATAAATTTTAAATCCTAATTTCCTGTGACATGATCGTTCAGAAATCATTGTCATATTCTGATTTGGCATTCAAGAAATTTTATTATTATTTTTTTTATATATATAATATTATAATGTTGCTTTAACTGCCTAAAGGAACATTTCAACCATTTCAACATTAATCTTTATTGAAAGTGGATCATATATGTAGTCGAAATGTAAAATAATTTTTTTTAATTTGGTGCCCTCTTGACAGAAAAAATAACCAAAGGGCGCATTTGTATGTAAGACAACAACTCCCAAAATGCACCACATTGCACAGCTCTGCAAACCACACCCACTAATCCAGAACAGCGCAAACAGAGAAATCACTCTTCCTTCTACAAGGCTAAGGTTAGCTGTCACCAGAGTTTGAAATTCATTTCACAGAAAATTTCAAAATAGTTGGCGGTGGCGAGCAGGACGATCGGGGCGAGGGACGCAAGATCATGGCATGAATGATAATTAAAGACACCTGTGAGCAGTGTTGGGAGTAACGCATTACAAAAGTAATACATTACAGTAACATATTACTTTTTGCTGTAACGCAGTAGTGTAAGGCATTACTAATCAATTTTCAGTAATATTTTACTCGTTACATGTTCAATGAGGCTTGTATTACAGTTGTATTACAGTGTATTGTCTGCTTTTACTTCTTAAAGGCAACAGACTGTGTGAAAGTTTTAAAGCAGTCTTTTAGTGCCAGTTCAGAGCGGTCGCGTCTGTAACATTGTTTTTTCCTCATAAATGCGAACACGAAAACTAAAATAAAATGAATATTTTAAGTTCTATGGAGACTGGAGAGCCAATCCTTCCTCATCCGATTTGCGCAGTGTAATTAACAGAATTACAAAAAATATATTTTGCCTCCTATTTTTTTTGTTGTCACGCATGAATGTGTGTCTTTTCCCTAATATTAAAAATAAAACATAGACTGATATTTGTCTAATGTCTGGAGTCCTTTGAGGAAGTAGCCTATACGTTTCAATACATGTATTTTCGGAGAATTTTTAATTCAAGTTTTGACTGCAAATGTCATGTCCATAATGCTCCTTAACTAGTTTTGTGGTGTAGGTCTACGTATTTTATAATGTTAACTTCAAATAATACTAATAGCCTAATTTAAAGATAAGGCAGCATTGGATCTGGACGGTAAGGAGAATAACGCTGGGAGTTGGAAGAGGTGTGTCGCGATTCTGTTCGTGGATCTGAGTCGTGTGGCGAATCGCGATTTCGGTTTCATATTGCATATCGTTACAGCCCCAAAGTTGTTCTACTTAGTTATTTTGGTGAAAGTAACTCAAAAGTAATACATGAGTAATGTAACGCATTACAATTCTGAGACAGTAATATTGTAAGGTAATGAATTACTTTTAAATAACAGTAACAAGTAATACCTAATGTATTACAGTTTGGAAGTAACTTGCACAACACTGCCTGTGAGACACACCGGTCCCGCATCTCTCACGGAGGAGCGACGACGGCAGATCGAGAGAGAAACAGGCCTGATTTTATGTTGCGTTTTGTTTCTGTTGTGTGTAACGTTATAGCAGTCGTCAATGAGGGGCTGCTGGCTTATACTTTCGTTTTGTATTTGTTCATTTTAGTATTAAAATGTTTAAATGTTCGCCGGTTCCCGCCACCTTCCCACAACAACAAACCTCGTTAACGTTACAATGGCAAACTCATTAGCGAATTACACCTCGTTTGTATCTATTTCTATATGGTGAATTAGTCCATGATACCTGGATGTTCAGTCAGACGAAACTAGGATGGTTCACATAACAACACAAACGTCCGTGTGCTCGTCTGATTCAGAGATTTCGTTCAGGAGAAATTGCCATTGTTGAAATTCTCTGCAGCAGACGGACTGTATCTGTGTTCGTAGTTCACAGCGAGAGCACAAGCACCAGCAGTCCGCCTCAGCTCGAGCCAGTTTGGGCTCCTCAACCGTGACAGGCAGCCGCCTCCTGTTCCTCCATCAGTCTCAGCTGCTCTTCACTATACTGCGACTCGTAAAGATAGCCACGAACATCGGATTCGAGCAGCAGAATTTCAAAATCCTTTTCTTCCATATCATGTTTAGTTTCTACCATCATTATCATACTTCCTATCTCCACAGCGCTTGTTAGCTTAGCTTCCAAACAAGATGGTCAATTCTGCAAGTGAAGTCCCACCCACTGATCTGTAATAGGCCTGTAGGGTGAGTGGGTCCCACCCCCTTGAATAATAATGAGCTAATGTTTGTAGACTCTAGACTTTAATGAAATGTGACTTCCTGCTTATTATGACGCAAAATGATGATTTCTACGTCATAATGAGCAGGAAGTAAAACACTTAAATCCTTATTTCTCCCATCTCAGGGGAAAATAAGGGAATAAGCCATGACCATTCAAAAATATGACTGAGTTTCTAAAGATACAAAGCTTAATGTAAATGGGTGAAGTGTCCCTTTGATATTTTTAAGGAAAAATGTTGAGGAAATCTTTTTCAGGGTTCTTTGAATAGAAAGTTCTAAAGAACACATAATTAAAATACTTTTTTTTTTTTGTAACCGTCTTTAACTGTCAATTCTGATCAATTTAATGTCCTCTCTGAATAAAAGTATACGTTTATTTCAAAACAATAAAAATATACTTAAACTGACCCCAAACATTTGAATGATATATAATATGCATGTAATTGCTGTTGCTTGTATACTAGACATCATCCTTTGGTTACCCGGTTGTATGCGGACACACTTATGTTATCAGAAGGATTCAAATCACAGACACTTCTTAAGTCATGCTCATGTATGCAATCAATAAACAATCAAAAAACATCACATACTTCCTATAATCAAAGCAATTATCTTCTGAAGTTTGCTTCTTTTTGTTAGTCTACCCTTGACTCCTGACTCTTACAGGATCACATGATTGTGCTTCACGATTCTGTGCTCAACAAGCATCAACAACTACATACATCTGCTGCACTTAGTAAAGACAAATACAGTATATAGAGTGGAAATAGAACAAAGTACTTTTGCTGTTTTATAGGACTGGGCAGTGCACTTTTGGACGGAGATGGGAGGAAAGCTATGTTTTCCTCTCTCACACACCAAAGGGCAGGGATGATCTCAGCGATGTCAACAGGAGGGCAGAGACCGAAAGATAAACTCAAGAATAAAAAAATGGTGGACTACAACACACAAGACGACAACAAAATGCCAGAGACAATAACTATGTCAATGGGTAAACCATGATGGTACTCTATTGCACGGTTGCCTAGTCTGAAACACTCAGTAATGAGACACTGACCTGTGAATCCACTAACTTATTCCCAGCCATCCTGAGATAAGAAAGGTCAAGTGAGGATTATTGAACCTCTCTGTCAGGCATGTCGAAGTTGTTTGAATACATTAGGCAGAGCAAAGCAGAAACCCTGTTCTTCATGACACATGCAGGTGTAAAGAGTAGCAGCATGTTTTTAAGGACAACTAGCAGTTTTGTGAACGGTTATATATATATATATATATATATATATGAAGAGTTCAGATGCAAAAGCCTCTAAATGCCATTTGAAATTTTCTTCTTTAATGATGATTTTTATCAAACTTGTATATTTAAGTTCAGTAATTTCAGTTAAATAACAATTAATAGGTAATTATCATTGCCATTTAAGTGAAATCACTGAACTTAAATATACAAGCTTGATAAAAATGATCATTCTAGAAGAAAATTTCAAATGGCACTTAGAGGCTTTTGCATCTGAACTCTTCATATATATATATATATATATATATATATATATATATATATATATATATATATATTACAAAACATTGATTCATTCCTATAGTATTGTTACTTACTGCACTGGTTTAATAAGCTATTCATGTGCATCTTGAGGGTGGAGAGGCGTCTGCCGGAGCTCAAAACACAGACAAGCTGTGAAGTGCCTATGACAGAAGCTATAAGAAAAGGGACACACATAGAAGCAACCATGAACAGAGACACACAAAACATAGAAATGTAACAGAATCAGCAAGGACATAGAAACAGCAGAATCGACAAACATTTTAAAAGCAACAAACTCGGAGTAAGTGTAAAATCACATCGCACAATGAAAGAGCTTTGAAATTGGCTAGTTCTTGGTGCACATAAGTGTCGCATCATATTATCAGTCCAAATTAAAATGAGAACATAATGACAGACGGGTGAGGGGGTGGATGCATGGACCAAGATGCATTTGTTAAAAAGCAGAAATGTTTTAAACATGTGCACGTGTACCTCTCTCTCACACAAAAACACACACCAAGTAGGAAAATAATCAAGGTGCCTAACATCCTAGCAATAGTACCCGATAAAAATCAATGTACTCACAGCAAAAAGCACACCGGCGTCTTCACCTCCGCTGCTGATTGATTGGTTGCTCAGCGATCAAATAAAATCGACTACAACCCCCAAACAAGTTCTAGTCGGAGACAAACGCTGGCATTGCTTACTTCTACTGCGCTTCTTTTCTTGGATTAGTCCATTTACCGTCACTCAACCCGATAATCCTCAAATACTGCAAACCCACTCTCCTCACAAACTGCTTAACATGGTTTAAAGCGGTCTATGTGTAATGGGCTAGGCAGTGTGGGAACCAGTTGCCATGACGTCATTATTGTAACGTTTAGCGCCGCCCACCTGGTCCATGCTGCAGTGAGGCGAGCTGCTTACTCAGTGATGTGATTTTGTTTGTCTTTTGAATCTCCTCACCAAACAGATTCATTTGTGACCATTTGCGTGTAGGCTTAAGAGACCGTTTTAACTTAAGCCATTAAGCGTGTCAACTCCATCGGCATTAATGTAATTATAGCTATAGTGACTTGTTCAATTAGTTTATTTTACAAAAAAAAAAAAAAAAAAAAAAAACAACAACAACAACCCAATATTACTTTTCCATTGTGTATCTTTTTAAGAAAGCCACTAAATTTACTTTGTGGCAACGTTTTTGGCACGTCCATAGACTAAAAAATAGGAGCAAGTCGCTGTCTAACGTTACGTGCCCGCAAAATAACGTAAAATCGTGGTAACAACTATGTAAACGTAGCCTGCTCTGCGACAATCAGCAATGAGAGACTGTTCTGACAATTACTATTATTTTTTTTTATGGTAGACATAGATATCCCCAATTTAGCATGTTATGTTTTGTAGTTATTTTTTAATCAGTCATGTTAGATAATTATATAGGCTACTTTTTAAATATTGTTTATCCTTATTTATGGGCATAGTAAATTCATTGTAAACACCTGCAAGTGTAGGCTACACTTTGAAGAGTAACAATGACAATTCAACTTTATTAAAACTGCATATGGTAATCAAATTGCACTTCCAAAAGTCATACATTTGTGAGGAAATGAGTGGACTAAAATTAACTAGCATGAGCAGGCATGAGAAAATCTAGCAAAGAAACGAATGAAATGACAGATAAAATGAAAAGAAACAGCAGTTAAGCTGTAAGACTATTTTTTTTCTCCGTGCGTTTCCAAAAAAAAAAAAAAAAAAAAAAAAAAACATGGAAAAACATCAAAGTGCATTATAAGTTATGCGCTTAAATCGCTGCCTGTTCAAGGAGTGAAATCCATTAGGCTCATCATTAAAGTCATTTTGGCTTAATAATACTTTTGGCAAAAAGTTAAATATGTGTCATTCCTGACCAGAATGACCATATGTTCAAATATGTCACATCACATTAGGAGTTGTGTAGGCTACTGTTAGAAATTGAATAATTAGCCTGTAGCTGAGGTATTATGAAGGTAGATTTGTGTCTTTATTATTCAATCAAAAAAAATGTTGCTTCAATCAAAAAAAATATTTTCAATTAAAAAAACCTTCACTTCAATGAAAAAAAAACTTTTCAATCAAAGAAAAAAAGTATTTGAATCCAAAAATATATTTGAGACTCAAAAAAATACATTTGAACACTGCTTTTCTTTGATTGAAAATGTTTTCTTTGATAGAAGTCCGGTTTTTTTTGTTTAAAGCAACCTTTTTAATTAAAGTAACATTGTTTTTTGATTGGACCATATAATGGGTAGGACATTTGTGTCTTTATCATTCAATCAAAAAAGAAGTTGCTTCAAACAAACAAACAACAGAATCAATACAAAAGTCACTTCAATGAAAAGATAAACATTTTCAAATATAGAAAATCATTTTTGAATGCAAATAAAATATTTGAGACTCCAAAAATTGCATTTGAACACCTTTTGTTTTAATTGAAAATGTTCTCTTTGATTGAAGTAATCTTTTTTGTGTTTGGGCCATACATGGGTAGGACATTTGTGTCTTAATCATTCAATTCCAAAAAAGTTGTTTCAATCAAAAAAAAATATTTTCAATCAAAGAAAAAACTTTTCAAAAGCAAAAAAAAAAAATTATTTACCTCGTGTATAAAAAAAGTATTGAAGAGAATGTGTTTTCGTTGTTTTTGTTTTTTATTTGAAGTGAAAAAAATTTAGAATTTCAAATTGTTTTGATTGAATCCTTTTTTTTTTTTTGAAGTGCAAAAAGTTTTGAAGTTCAAACTTTTTTTTGATTGAATCATTTTGACACAAACGTTCCGCAGTGGGCGGGTGCTTCTCTGTTGGTCAGACATGTTTGATTGACAAGTGTCTACACCAACGACATCTTTCTGACAAAGAAGTCATGTTCGCCACTCGCCAGCAGCTTTTTTAGAGGGGATAAAATCTTTGCCTGGCAGGGGGATCTGCTACTCGACCGGCCACGGATATATGTGCCTTATATGCACTGCATTATATAGCGCCTGCCACTCGAACTTACACAATATTTACAGTAAATGCAGCGCATATTCCCCGACAGAACGGTACGCACAATAGGTCAATATTCACCATTAAGCATTAACCAAACGCTTTTCACCTGCCTAGCCACAAGATTTCTCACTGTTTACACCTATCAGACTCTCCTAATGGTAGGCCTACACGAGAGCACACATAGCCTACAGTAGCTAATACAGATCTTATTTACACATTTATCATCTGATCATTTTATTCGTTCTTTTTGCCCGTATTGGAGCGCGTATAATAACGTGCAATCCATCTCTTATTTACCTTTTTGTCATCTTATATTATATTTTATTTGCTCTTTTTATGCGTATGGGAGTGCGCTCGCATGGCTCTATTAAGCGTCGCGCCGGCCACACCAGCCACACGATCTCTCTCTATTTACACCTAATGGTAGCTACACGAAAGCACACATAGTGCAATACAGATCTCATTTACCCATTTATCGTCTGATCTTATATTTTATTCGCTCTTTTTATGCGAACGGGTCGTGGCTCTAAGCATCGCCAGCCATACCAGCCACAAGATCTCTTATTACACCCATCAGACACTCCGATTGATCCACATGTGAAAACAGACAGTGCAATCCTGCTCTTAAGTATCTTTTTTGTCATCTTATTTTATATTTTATTTGCTCTTTTTGTCCATAATGGAGCGTGCGCGTCACCTAGCGTCGCGCCTGCCACAAGATCTCTCACTGTTTACATGAGACACTCAGATGAGAGCAAATAAAGTCCAATCCATCTCTTATTTACCTTTTTGTAATTTTTTCTTATATTTTATTTGCTCTTTTTGCCCGTATTGGAGCCATCTTCGCAGTAGTGAACGCGCCGAGAGAAATGCTCATTTCATATGGATTAAATATAATCTGAGAGTAGAATAATCTATTTATTTTCGTTTTGAATTGTTTTGTTTAAAATTAGGCTAGACATTTCTACCTTTCTAGATGTAGCCTATTTATCATGTCTTTGAGAAACGTGCAAAGCAAAAAGTTCATGATTTTATTGCTATGCCTATGTTTGCTTTGCTTCTTATTTATTAAATCCTGGGAATTGGTTGATCAAACATTGATTAAAATCAAGATGCAATTTATTAAAAACGAAATTCACTTTAAAGAAAGCCTTTATTAAAAAAAACAAACTTAATGGAGTGGTCACAATCATTCTCCTTCAGAATGTCAATCGGAGAATCACGCAACTATGAGAAATATTGCGAAATCTTGTGGCTGGCACCACGAAACGTGCTCCATTATGGGACAAACGAGCTAATAAAGTATAAGATAAGATGACAAAAGGGTAGCCTAAATAAGTGCAGGGTTGCGTTGTCTCTGTGTTTTCGTGCATCAATCGGAGTGTCTGGTAGGCTATGAGAAAAGTGAGAGATCTTGTGGCTGGCCCGACGCTTAAGAGCTACGAGATGCGCTCCAATACGGGCAAAAGAGCGAATAAAATATAAGATAATATGTAAAAAAAAGTAAATAAGAGATGGATTGCACTTTATATGCTCTCAGAGTGTCTGGTTCACGTAAACAGTGAGAGATCTTGTGGCAGGTCGCTTAAGAGCCATGAGACGCGCTCCAATACGGACAAAAAGATAAATTATAAGATAAAATCATAGGCGTCATTTACGGGGGGGGGGGGGGGGGGGGGGGGGGGGGACATGTCCCCATAGATATGTATGCATGTCCCCACCACTTTTTGCCAGGGTAGATTTTGTACCCACCACTTTTGAAACATCTCGCGGCGCCTACTCGAAAGAGAAAAAAAATAATGAATGCGTCATTGTACCCAGCACTTTTGAAAATGCTCTTCCGAATACGTCTCTGTCCCCCAGCACATTTCAAACCAAACCAAACTGACGCCCGTACACAAGAGCAGGATAACACTGTCTGTGTGCTCTCGTGTATTAATCGGAGTTTCTGATAGTAAACAGTGAGAGATCGTGTGGCTGGTGTGGCTGGCGCGATGCTTAGAGCCACAAGATCAAATGATAAATAGATAATATCCTGTAGGGGTAAAAACTTGCTGGCGAGTGGCGAACATGACTTCTTTGTCAGAAAGATGTCGTTGGTGTAGACACTTGTCAATCAAACATGTCTGACCAACAGAGAAGCACCCGCCCACTGCGGAACGTTTGTGTCAAAATGATTCAATCAAAAAAAAGTTTGAACTTCAAAACTTTTTGCACTTCAAAAAAAAAAAAGGATTCAATCAAAACAATTTGAAATTCTAAATTTTTTTCACTTCAAATAAAAAACAAAAACAACGAAAACACATTCTCTTCAATACTTTTTTTATACACGAGGTAAATAATTTTTTTTTTTTGCTTTTGAAAAGTTTTTTCTTTGATTGAAAATATTTTTTTTTGATTGAAACAACTTTTTTGGAATTGAATGATTAAGACACAAATGTCCTACCCATGTATGGCCCAAACACAAAAAAGATTACTTCAATCAAAGAGAACATTTTCAATTAAAACAAAAGGTGTTCAAATGCAATTTTTGGAGTCTCAAATATTTTATTTGCATTCAAAAATGATTTTCTATATTTGAAAATGTTTATCTTTTCATTGAAGTGACTTTTGTATTGATTCTGTTGTTTGTTTGTTTGAAGCAACTTCTTTTTTGATTGAATGATAAAGACACAAATGTCCTACCCATTATATGGTCCAATCAAAAAACAATGTTACTTTAATTAAAAAGGTTGCTTTAAACAAAAAAAACCGGACTTCTATCAAAGAAAACATTTTCAATCAAAGAAAAGCAGTGTTCAAATGTATTTTTTTGAGTCTCAAATATATTTTTGGATTCAAATACTTTTTTTCTTTGATTGAAAAGTTTTTTTTTCATTGAAGTGAAGGTTTTTTTAATTGAAAATATTTTTTTTGATTGAAGCAACATTTTTTTTGATTGAATAATAAAGACACAAATCTACCTTCATAAGGTATGAAACTAAATTCTCACTTGTTCTTGCTTGATGAAGAATGAGACGAGACGGAGACGACCAATGTCATGTCAGTTGAAATTTAAAAAGACTTGTTTCCGCGCTTCAGGGCAGTGAGCAACATTAGTAAATGCATTGGTAAATGCAAAAGATCAGTTTACTCAACATGGCCATATAGCAAATTACTATCTGAATTGTAAATATATAAATGTTAGGTATACAACTTTTCAATAAATAATGTCTTTATTTAACCCTAAATATTCACTACATTTCCTCCGCTCGCTATTATTAGGGAAATAGCGCCCCCGTCTGTATAAATTACGCATCAGAACCTCTGCGGTTTGCAAACAGTTCAAAATGTAGGCTTAATAGTCATTACTGTACCTTGCGGAAACGGACAATAATCACACATTTTATCAAAATAATAGATTTTTTTTAATTGTTAAAGTGCATGGGTGGTAACTCTTTAAAATCACATTTGCTATTATGTTTCATGACTGACTCATGAAACATAATAGCAAATGTGATTTTAAAGAGTTACCACCCATGCACTTTTCATGACAGAAGCACAAGCATACTCAGTTTAAATCATGGTTTAAATAAATGAAACTGCAATCGATTAATAAAATAAATTTCTGATATATATTTAAGAGTCTCTCTTATTTTAAAGGGCGCATAAAACAGCCAATCAGCTGTCTTTTACATTTTGAAAACAGACTAAATTGATTTTTATATTACTTCAAATAAAGAAAAATCCTGAAAATAGAATTCAGGAATTACCCATTTCCCGGTGTTTTTACTCTTTTGCTTTCTGGAGGATGATGCCACAGCAAGCATTCGGCGAAAAAAAAAGTATTTTTGTAATTGTTTCTGTAATCCAAATAGGCCTATCACCACTTCCATGTCCTGTTCATTTATTTATGCATTGACCTTCTAATAGGTATTGCTTATTTATTTATATATTAACAATGTTTTCTAATACATTATTTTGTAAGTGTTCTGTATTCTCTCTTACATGTGTAAGTGCTGAATCACAGCAAGTGTAGGCTACTTCTAATACAATTTTAGGATTTCAGTTTGATGAAGGTAAATAGTCTGCATCAACATGTAGATTGAGACTTCTGAAAGTCATGCCAAATGCGGATAAGATTCTGTGGATTAAAGCCATTCACTACAATGCGCTTGGAAAAAGTGCACCTTTCATAACTAAGCCTGCGCACCTCAAAAAGATTCCTAAGTCCCAGAAATTGTGTTGCGTAAACTGGTTTTACACCCAGGACTTGAAGGCACATCCCCACATAAACATCTTCAAGTGGAATTGGCCGCACAAATCTAGAGGCCCATGATATTTTTCTGGCCAGGTCAGTGGAAAAGACATAAGCAGCTCCAGACACATATGGAGGATACCAGGTGTCTGGGTAAAGATCCTCTGGGATATACCATTTGTTGGAACTGTCCCTGTGAGGAACAGCATCTGAGATGACCGATCCAGTGATGTAGTCTTTCCTTGAGGACTCGTCCCGACCATGAAGGTAGTCCACCAGGTAACGCACATTGAGAAAGACATCTGCATCGATCTTCATGGTATACAAGGCACCCTGGCAGTAAGTGGCTATCCAGTTCATAATCATCATCGTCTTGATTGTGAGATTATGGTAGCTGTCCACAAAGTTCATTTGAATAATGTCACCATATTCATTGCTCTCCCTCTCAAAGTGCTCCTGCAGTACTGGGTCGCTTTGTGCGGGCTGACCAACGACAAACAAATGCAAAATATCCACACCAGGAATCAAGCCATGTTGACCCCATGTCCTTCTAATAGCAGTCCTAGCCTCTCTGCTTTCGAGAGTCACTGGGATCATAAGAACCAGGAAAGGACTCTTCTTCTTCTCGCACAGTTCTGGCTGGTTCAGAATGAATCTGTATGTTGACGGTGAGATCACATCATGGAGATTTTTAGGTGTTGGAGTCTTCTTAGGAAGGGATGGCCAAAGTAATGTGTCGTTGAAAGCAAAGATTACTAAAAGCGTTATTAATCCAGCGACAGCTAGGTATTTTAAAAGTTTAAACCGCGATCGTTTCCGCATTTTAACACCCAATAAAAACTTCATTGCCCCACATAGCTATGGGGGATGCAAAACTTGAATGTTTGACGAAAGCTAATTTTGCGTAAGGCTAAGATGCATGCGTTTGTTTGGCAGAAGTAGCCTACGAACCTGTCTTGACATCTGCTGTTTAACTTGCTGACCCACTTTTAAAGTAGGCTAAAACAACTTTCATTTTCTATCGGTTTTGTATGGACGTAATTGACGATATAAACCAGCAAAGCTCTAGAGGTTATTTTTTAGTTCATATTTATCTTCTAGCAGTAATATCACCGGGGAGTGTTTTCCGGAGTTGCCAGATTATTCTAGCAGGATATAGCCTACAGAGAGCGAAACAATGATTGAATGAAGGCAGAAATTTGCTTGATTGAATTCACGATTACCTTATTGAGTTTTTCATTTAAAATGTTAAGGAACCCGCACAAAGAATCACAAATCAGGCGATAAACACTATCCAATTTTCTCCTCCAATCTAATATTCCTCGCCCACCCTGGCAACATGATTTTACGAGAACCTCTCTCGAGAGTGAAGGGCAATCCGGCTCTTTTTCGTGAGCCGGCTCGTTTGACTCAGCTCACTGAAAAGAGCCGGCTCTGTTGGCTCGGCTCTTTAAAAAATATAATGATTTGACTATGATAGGTGTGAAAACAATTCAAATTAAATAATTAAATGAAATCATACTCACAATGTCTCACAATTTATTTAAAATTGCATTGATTTGTTATATAAAAAAAGAATACACTATTAAATATTATTAATAAACATCTGTATTTAAATTACCATTTTTTAATGTATAGAAATAAAATTCAAAACAAATAATCTGAACAACATAATAGAACCCATATTTAAGAAAAATGAATAACTAAAAGGATTTAATTATTTAATTTAATTATTATTTAAATAATAATAAAGAAGAAATTAAATAATCAAAAAGTACACGGGCCAAACTGGTCCCTCTTTCTCTTCTTTATAACTAGCATGAACTATCAAGTTGATGTTTTTTGTATAACTAGCTTGAGCACACACACACACACACACACACACACACTCACACAGGCCTATTTGTGTTCTTTGAATTAGTCAATCATTTTAAATAAAATAAAATTCATTCATTATTTCATTACATAATTATTTCCTTTATTTTTAAAAAATAGAGTCGACTCGTCAGATATGCGAGCCAGTTCCTGTCGTTCACCTACAATAACCGGTTCTTATTAGAGCCGACTCATTCGCGAACGACATAGCCTCGCCCTGGAATTCAGCTTTTACTGTCTATGGAACTCAGGCGAGGCCAGTCTAGCAGGGGCAGGCTCAGGCAGTTCTCCCAGATTATGGAAACACCTAGTAGCCTACAGTGGCCGTCGAGAGAGCTCAACGCGCTGCAACTGAAGAAAACATGCAAACAAAGAAAACACCCTCATAGTTTCACAACACACGTGTTCTCCAAATAATCACAACCAAGAACCAATACAAAAAGCACGGCAAATGTCTGCATGCTGCCGCAACGCGTTTTAAATTAATTCAAAATTAAGGATAATTTTTGACTTCAATATCTCTTGGAAAAGTGGTTTTCCCCTAGCGTAAGAAATTACGTAGTACTCGTTCCCTCTTCTATAGAGAACCAAGGTTACGTTAGTAACCGAGTAGGCCTACGATTTCATGATCCCATCCCATTCATCAAAAATTAATTACCCCATAACCTCATTATATTCCGCCTTTACCTGTCTAAATAGCTGCGGGCATTGATGATAAAACGGTCAGCAAGCCAATCAGATTGCATTGTCGCACGTATACTTGCATAAAGTAGAGAAAAAAACGGCAGCTATTTCTTTATGGATTCCATTTAAGAAACAAATTAAATGTTTTGAATATATGTGAAAATTGTAAATGTTACTTTAGGCTAATTTTGTTTGTCCAAATAAGCATGTTGCAAACGTGGTTTATTAAACAAAATCTGTTTTATTGTAAGAGAAACACCTGTTGTACACCCATTTAATAAACAAACAAACAAACAAAAATATTCAAATACCAAAACGAAACATAATTTACACAGGTATCGTATGGGTCAGTGGTTTAGTCGATAGCAGGGTAGGGGCAAACACGAAGACTTATTTTGTATATTACTTCTTTCTGCAAACAGAACTTTCATATAAGACTATGTTTACAATAATTTCAATAACCTGGCCATTACTGGCAATCAAAGTATCACTTAATCCAAAGATTGAACATAGGTCCTGCCTTAACCTTTGTTTCATTTAAATCTTTTAGAGGATATTATCTTATGCTTTGTGACTGAATGCCAATATAGTTATAGGGTACAGGAAACACGACAAAAGGTGCATATAAATGAACACTTAGCAGTACTGTAAAGATGCCAGTTCGAGAAACGTGCCACTTGACTTCATAACTGATGAGTATGAGTTGTGAGAGAGAGAGCGAGCATGGGTACTTAGATTTATCACACACAGGCTAGAAAGAGATAAAAAAAAATCTCTGAGCCTCCCCACTAGATATTGTTATGCAGTCTTGCATATTAAATGCTGAATTATCATGTGCCATTAAACTTCTCATCCTAATTGAGAAGTTAAAGGATAAAGTATTCTTGAGGCTAACCACAGCCTAGGGAAGAGGCTCCAATAACTTTAAATAAAATACCACACACAAACATTCAACTCTCTCCACTGTAACTGTATGTGATATACAGAAAAAATAATATAGATTTTTTTAACTGGAAAGCACCTAGCCAAACTCAAAATCTCCCCTCCATCAGCATTGTATTATATAGATGGTACTGAGTGTCTGTCTTTGGTGTGCTCATGATGTACAGGCACAGTGTGTAATGTTAAACACTTCACTATGAGTCTATTGGTTTACTGTTGAACAGAAGTGGTACACACACAACTGTGTATGGACTTTTAGCTTTGAAGACCTTTTTTTTTGTTCTTGTTCTCCATGAGTAGGAGAGTGTAGAGAGCAGGCTGGGCTCCTGGCAGTGGCTTTGGTAGATGAAGGGGATGAGATGATTCAGGAGGAACAAGGGGAGAATGGGCAGCAGAGGAGGGTAGGTTGGTTGGAGCCGGAGCGCACTGGTTTATGATCGCTTTCTCCTTCCCTCAAAGTTCCTGAAGTTGGCAGGCCTGATCTTCATCTCTGCAAACTCGATGGAGTGCTCATGACCCTTCCAGTGGAACCAGTTTACACCCTGGAGAAGAAAAAAAAAAACACAATTCAAATTATCTTGACAGTATATATGAAGAGTTCAGATGCAAAAGCCTCTAAGTGCCATTTGAAATTTTCTTCTAGAATGATCATTTTTATCAAGCTTGTATATTTAAGTTCAGTGATTTCACTTAAATTGCAATGATAATTACCTATTAATTGTTATTCAAGTGAAATTACTGAACTTAAATATACAAGTTTGATAAAAATCATCATTAAAGAAGAAAATTTCAAATGGCATTTAGAGGCGTTTGCATCTGAACTCTTCATATCTCTTTCATATTCACATAATTCTCTCACAGGGAGCTCAAACAAATATGTCAGCCTGCCTCTACTGTATGGAAAGTGAAAATGCAGTAATTTGAAATGTGTACCTTGCTGTGACTGTTGTCTCCGTATCGGCCCATTATATTGACTCGATGACAGTTTTTATACCAGAAAGCCCCCTTATAAGACAACGCACAGTTGGTGACAGCTATATCATTGTCATGATCGTAAGTTGAGAATGGACGGCTGTGGTGGTACGTCATTGAGTCACCTTTAAAACAGCATCATCACAAAATCAGTCAGATTTTAAAACAACTATGATCAAGTTGTATGTTTACCTTATGAACATAATTTACTATACACACACACACAGACGCACACATGCACACTACTGTTCAAAAGCTGTTCACCACCTCTTTTCAAATTTGATAATAATGAGAAACTCCAAGTCAGCATATTGAATGATTTCTAACGGATCATGTGACACCGAAGACTGGCTGCTGTAAATTCAGCTTTGTCATCACAGGAATAAATTATATTTTAAAATATATTAAAATCAAAAACATATTTTTAATTGTATTAATACTTCACAATATTATAAATAAATACATCTGTTTTGTTTTAAATCTGGGAGCAAATAATTGTTCCCAATTTGTTTCGAAGAAAAACATTTATTTTATAATGTGATTTCCCCCCCACTTTCAATTGTTTTACTTCAATAAAAGATTAGATTTTTTTTCATTTTTTTAAATAAAATATCAAAAGGATAAACAATGCAGATTAATTTTTTACAGGCATCTTTTATCATATTTACCAAGGGGACAAATAATTCTGACCAGAAATATATAGAGAGAAGTCGAGAGAGGTGAAATACTTTACCTGCAGTGCCGCTGTATCCTCCAACATGGACTTTGTAGCGACTGCGTGGTTCAGAGACTGAAAACTTGTCATATTGTGCATATGCAGACTCTCCCTTATCTCTGAGGTCCACACGCAGCTCATACTGCCCAGAGGAGGTGATCTTGTGGAGGTTAGAGAGACCTGCAGATACAGCCAATGGAATCAGTAATCAATTTCACCATATCATAAAACCTCTGGGCTTCTATACTCAATATTAGCAATGTGCCATGTCTGCACAGATATAAACATACCCAGCCAGAATTCATCGTTCAGGTCACCAAAGCCTGCAGTGTAGTTCTTCCAGTTTCTGAAAAACTCCACTTTACCGCTCTGCCGTCTCACAAACACCTGCGTGGAGGTACCTCGATATTAACAATGACTCTCTCTGTGTTTCAGGAGACTTTAAATGAAAATTCACTTGAAAATTCAAATTCAATCATCATTTATTTACCCTCATTACTTTCATTGGAGCATTTGGTATGTCATATGGGTAAGTAAATGTTTTCATTTTTGAGCAAACTATCCTATTAAAAAAAACTCTTTAAGATTATAACAGCTAATTTTTCTATCCTGCATGTAATTTGAGGAAGAATTACTCACAATCCAGCCACCTCCATCAGTGGTCATATCGCAGTAGACCTGCAGGGGCTGACTCTCATCTCCACGCAGATAAATAGTGTACAAGCCTGAGGCTGTGTCTCCATTCAACAGAGCCTGGGAGCAGTCTTTAGGATGCTTGTACAGCACTCCAACTGTGAAAAGAGTTTGACCAAGGGCAAGTTTATTTATTCAACACCTTCACAATTAAGATTCCATAATCATGCAGTGAAGCTGTAACATAAATGTATTGGCTCACTGGTGGTGAAGACAGTAGAAATGATTCTGCTTCTCTTTGGCCCAGCAATGGCCTGCAGTTTGACTATGTATTCTGTGGAGGCAGTCAGCTGAGACATGCTGTAATATGTTGCTGTGGGGCTTAGGACAACCTCCTGAGCCAAGAGAAGAAAACCAAGCACATACAACTATCAGTACAGAAGCATTGGACAGTCCATGTAGAAGGCACCGTTAAGTTTTAAGGCCCAAATAAATGTATTTGTGCGGTTCACTCACCTTGACCATGCCA